GGGGAAGGGGGTGGGGAAACGGGACAGTGGCTGTCCTGCAAGAAAAACTGCAGAGGACACAAGGAGCCTTCTAAAGTATGAAAATCGTTCTCAAAATAAGTCAGTGGGTGTGGTGGTGACTCCTTTAGTGCCAGCACTTGGGAGCCAGCTGCAACTGGCCAGCTCCAGGTTCAGCAAGAGACTGCCACAGTACAGAAGGCAGAGAGGGATCACAGAAGATCCCCAAGGTCAGCTTCAGGCCTCCACAAACACATGCATTGTCTCACACACACAGGCACCCACACACGGTCAAACACGCATACACAGACATGCCAGAAACTATCAGATGTAGATCTGGAGTCTCTGCTACATGAGGGCTAAGCTGCTATCTAATGGTCTGTGCTCTGTGTGCCTGGTAGCTGATGTTCCCACAGCTCCTAACCCTTCCCACGGTGGTGTTTGGTTTAATCTGTATCATTCAACCTTTCAAAGGTATTTGTTTGATATGTATTCTTTTGATTAAGGATGTGGTTTTTAAAAAAAAAAATGAGACGAGGAAGTGGTTTTGAGGCCATCGGTCTCTTTGTAGATCTTCCCTCAGTTGAGGAGTCCCTCTCTTTTCAAAGTCTCCTGCCAAGACCAATCGGAACCGGTCAGAGGTGGAATGCAGCTTCTGGGGCCTTACTGCGGCAGCCTGGTGATGAAGATGAGGGTGAGGATGATGGTGATGACGTCGTGTATGGATATTTTGTCTGATGTGTGTCTGTGCACCGTGTGAGTGGGTGCCTGGTGCCCTTGGAGACCAGAGGAGGGTGTCAGACCCCATGAGACTGGAGTTACATATAGTTGTGGGTCCTGGGAATCGGACCCGGGTCCTCTGGAAGAGCAGCCAGTGTTCTTAACTAGTTCATGACTTTACAGTCTGCTCTGCTGTTGCCTCCACCTGTCTTCTGGTCCTTTATCACTTTGGCTGGTCCGTCAACACACAAATGACCCCACACCACCCTGCTTTACAATCCTTCTGTTAGGAATATTTCTTAAGACGAGCCTCTCTGCTGATGCAAATAATTCCAATCGGACCAAATTAGACCGAATCAAAGATGCCCCCGTTTAATGCAGTGCTCCCGGGTAGCCCCAAGAAAGCCTGGCGAGGGGAAGGGAGAGAAGGGGGAGAGAGAAGGGGAGACCACGCAAAACCCAGACACCACGTATTTTCTGGGGGCAGCCTAAAGAGACTGTGGGAGTGGTCTTGACCCTCCCTGGGGAGGGGTCACTGCTTGGCGGGCTTTCCCAGAGGTGGAGTCCGAACCAAGGCAACTGGGGGGGGGGCTTGAAGTGGAACTTCCGGCTCCATTCCAAAGATGAGTGCTAGGGGGTGGGTGATGATTCCGACCAAACACCTTCCCTTGCCCGTGTCCCCCGCACGGGCACGGATGCTTTCCTCCGCAGGACCCACAATCAGGCTCTAGGATGCATGCCCGGGAGCCAGGATCTCTCCAATCCCTGAACTGTGCGAAGTCCCCTGTCTCCTGCTTGGTTACGATCACCTGAGTATTCTGTAAATTAGAGGCTAAGTTGTTAGGGACCCAAGTTGAAGACCCTTGAGAGAATAAAAATTGTTACTTTACCGACAACACAGCAAAGAAAACGCCGACCTGTGTGGAGCGCCCCCTGGTGGCTGTGGGTTCCCATACATTCATGCTCAGCAAGGCTTGGCGCTGGTAACTCTACCCATCAGGGGTCCGCATGTGGCTCAAACCAGCTCCTGAGCCAGTCAGAGCCCTTTGTGGTCCTGCTTCTGCTCGGGTGCACTGAAGGCTTGCGTTTATTCTCCTTAACTTCTACTCTGGAGACCATAGTAATGAAACCGACATAGAATTTCCCGAATTCTATGCATGAACCACCCTATGCTCCGTTGCAAGATTTTTGGAAGTCAGTTCTCTGCTTCCACCATGTGGGTCTCTGAGATGGAACACTCGGATCCCAGGCTTGGGGGGTGGCTCTGGCACAACTGAGCAATTTTGTTTTGTTGGTTTTGTTTTTGTTTTTTGTTTGTTTGTTTTTGTTTAGTTGGTTGGTTTGGGGGTTTTTTGAGACAGGGTTTCTCTGTGTAACCCTGGCTGCCCTTGAACTCACTCTGTAGGCCAGGCTGGCCTCGAACTCAGATTTGCCAGACACTGCCCTCCCCCCCTCCTCCCCCAGTGCTGGGATTAAAGGCATGCGCCACCACTCCACCGGCTCCTATTTTTGTTTCACTATAAGGACATGATGTCAAACAGTCTGAGTATTTATGTTCATACTCGCAGGCAAGCGCTATCCCAACCTTGGTCAGAGAAGCTTCTGCAATGTGCAATGGTTCATGCAGAGACTAGTAAAAGTGCTGAGAATTGGTGACTGCTGAGTGCTTAGCCCTAGTGGGATATCTCCATGACCCCTGCAAGGCTTCTGAGAAGAGAGCGGGCGGGAAGAATATAAGAACTTCAAGAAGGGCTGTAGGATGCCGTCTTCTGGCCATATGAACTCATCGCGGCAGTGGCTTACCTAAACAAGACCTGCACACCTTTGGCTCTTCCCTCAACCTACTGTCGATGATGGTGGGGGTCCCTGAAGACCTATTGGCAGTTACTGGTTGCTGGGGGAGGGCATCTTTGGTGGTGTAACCACTGGTAAGGAAATTGGGCTTGTTCAAGTAAATAACCCAAACCCCAGCCATGTTTATTCAAGAAACCTTAATTAAATGTTGTAGGTCAAAAGGAAAAAGATGAGAAATAGAA